AATGGTTGATCGAGGCACGAGATCAAACCATACAAAAAACAAAGCAGCAGGGCTCTCCAGAACAGAAAAAGAAACATTCCATAACCACAGAAAACTCACCCATAAGTCCCATGATACTTCACAGGAAACGAACTAGTGGCAAACAGATTTCGGAGCCGAACCACACAATGGACAAGAAGAATCTTCAATCCTAGAACCCCACGTTTAATTAGCTCCACTTTAACTGCCACCTTATGAACTACTGCCAGACAAACGATTCCACCGAAGGAGGAACCACACCAATCCACACATGCCTTAACCAACGATAATTATCATCAGACGTGTCAAAAATTAGCCTTAGGCACGACTTGACCGAGAAACAACCATCCCCTTCACCTTTCCATAACATATTGTCTTCAAGAAGAGGTGAAGAATTAAAATATACAACAATGAAAAAAGATCGTTCCATTGTTGCATCTCCCAATCAGCTAAATTCCTTCTCATAGGAATGTCTTAAACCAACCTGAGGAGCTCGATTTACAAAAATCAACAATCTTCCCTCTTTATTATTCGAAAGGGAAAACAATCTTGGAAAGCACACTTTAGTGGAACTCCATCGAGCCAAGGATCGTTCCAAAATCGAACAGCATCCCCATTCCCCACCTTCAACTGAAAATTGCTCCAAAAACAAGTACCAAAATCATCATCCGAGCAACAATTTCTAACCACTCCCTTCCACATCCACGATGCTTTGCGTAGGGTCATATTCTCCATCCCAATTGCATTCGGGTATTGTTACAGCAAATTACCCTCTTCCACCAGAATCTCTCTCATTCGCAAATTTCCACGCCCATTTTCCTAATAGTATTCTTTTCATAAGCTCCAAGTTGGGAACACCAAGCCCTCTCAACGCCTTAGGCTTGCAAACAGTGGACCAATTTACCCAATAGATTCTTTCTTATCAACCGAGTCCCCCCATAAGAATTTCACCATAATTGAATTTAACCTCTTTAAAACACAGTTCGACATCCTGAAAATTGACAAGTAACCGACAAAGAACAAAGTATTGATTTTATCAGTATGACCCTTCCGACAATTGACAACGAAAATGCTTTCCACCCAGCCAAATTCTTATGAAACTTCTGAATAACCAGATCCCATAATGATGCCGAATTCTTCTTCGCCCCAAGAGGCAAACCCAAATAATTCGAAAGTAACCCACTGAACACCCGATTGCAACAGTTAACTCATTTCAAGACTATAATCGGAGTAGCGAGTAACAAAACCAATTAAATTGAATGTCATATAAAAGATAGAAAGCTAAATTATTTTCTCTTCCAACCTGCTTTGAATGACCATTTCGACCACCAATGGTTGTTCTTATCACATGCCCTGTTTCATCACCCACTCCATCAACTACATCAGGCTCACTATCCTGCATCGACAAAACATAAAGGACCACCTACAAGTACAAATACATTTTGCAAGGATTGTGAACATCTATTTACGATTTCAACAGTCAAACTACTATATTTTCAGTTATATATTCATCCTCCTCCCCCAACCCAAAAAAAAAGCAAGAAAAAGAAGGGAAGAAAAAATACAAATTGAGCTACTTACTATGTCTTCACCATGGTCTACTTTGTCTATCAATCTCATTTCATGTTAGAATCAATAAAAGTGAGACAAATAAAATAAAAATATAGGAGAACTAAAATTGAATATTACTTCTTCATTGAGGATAGAACTTTTAGGAATTTTGTATCAAAAGAAATGCAACTACAAAAGGAAAGCGGGGAATAAAGGAAAACGATATTGTCAGTTAAGAAAGGACCTATTAAGACAAGTAGACCAGCGCTTGACTTGGATCAGATACATAAAACTCATTCCCTCGTAAGAGTTACGTGTAATGTTGTATTCTCTAAAAGATGTCATGGATTGAATGTTAATTTTCAGTCACATAAATGAACCTTCATTCTATTAATTTAAACCTCACTTCAAATGAATTAGTTTCCACACCAGTTTCCAGTGGATAAATTTAAAGAGAACAAAATCCTAAAAGTAGAGCACAGAAAAGCAAATTCAGTTTATAACTACATCTAAACTATTTCAACGATCTTAGTGTTTCACTTGGAAGTGTATTAAATGAAATTAAGGTATCATACAGTGGAGAGATAAACTGAATGTTTGGACTGTAGTTTACGTATGATGCATGAACTGAAATATACCTCACAAAAAATTCTTAAATTATGAAGAAACAAATCCACTGAATTCTTTTTTTTTCCTTTATCAAAATTATCCAGTTTAAATGAATGTATTTTGAATACTGCCAAACAGGGAAGAAGGCATCAGATATCAAGTGTTAGTGAGAGAAGCTCTAACCCAGGCGATTTCAAATTTCCACGAGCCCAGGTGTTTTGAAAATTATTCAATCCTCCGACATCCACTCGTTGTCCGCCGCCGTCGACCGCCACCACCGCCGCTGTCAGCCGTCCGCAGCCACACTCCGACCACTGTTTGACCCGTTTTTTCCTGGGAAGTTCGCCGGCTCTCGGTGATTGCAAATTTGGCCTTAGATTTGCGATTGAGACATTCAATCAACGTAGATCTTCACGAAGTCCACTATCGATTTTGCCGCTTACCGCCGTCCGTGTCGTCACCGTCTCTCTACCGGACTCAGCGTTTCTTGCGATCATAACTACTATTCTAGTGTTTAGAATCGTTTCTTTCTCCTTTAATTTCCAGTGATCTGGTTCGGCAAGGAAAAACCCTTTCCTCTAATTTTCTGTTAATTTCCAGATCTCACCATGGAGCCCCAACCCCCGTCTCAGCCTAAGCGAACTCGAGGGTTTGCCGTAATAGTAAAGGCAGGTGCATCCTCTGGGAGCAACATCAGATCTGGTTTTCCTACTCCGATAAGGAAAAACGTGAGAGAGAATGAAAAGGATAGGACAAAGCTTCGGAAACGGAACAGGCAAGCCTTCACCAGACGTTTGCTGGCCGGTTTGAGACAATATGGTAATTTCTCTCTTCTCGTGCGTTCTGATATGAACGTTGTTCTGTCAGCCTTAGCCCGGGAGGCAGGTTGGACAATTGAGCCCGATGACACTACCTACAGGCACTTTCCTACCCACCAAAATAAAAAAAATTAAGAGCAGTTTCTACGAGGTCGGGTGAACATCTTTCAACCAATTCTTTGAAAAATTACTCTGTTAAAGGACATTAGACTATCAACCTCCTGTTGTTAGGATTGATGACAGTGGTATGTCTCCTTCGCAAGGTGGGAATTATAGGATTGAGAAGCTTTCTTTAGTGGAGGCAACACTTGCTCTTCTGCTGCTAAAGTTGATCACCATGGAACCAAGAAGTTAACCACGAAGGGGTATGCCAATAATAAATCTTCTGAAGTAGCGAGAAGGAGAAGAAACATATTCGAAATTGGCGGAAGGAATGTCATATAAACGGTAGTAATGGGTATAGTAGTGGATGTGTCACGTTATTCATTGAGAACCTACCGGAGAAGATCCATGGAAGAGACTTGGATATATTTGGCACACACGGTCAAGTTATGGATGCCTCATTCCTAAAAAAAGGAACTCGAATGGGGTTTGCTTTGGGTTATTCGCTATGCTACAATTGAAGAAGCAAGGAAAGCGATCTCAATGATGAATGGTAATCTTATTTACGGCAACAAAATTAGAGTCTCTTTGACTAAATATAAACCCGACAGTCTTATTTGCGAAAGTCCTCGACAGTTGCTCAATGTAAGTCGGGGTTGGAAGATATTTCGAGTAAACACTGTGAAGTTGAGGGTGTTGTGGACGAAGATAAACTTCACGTGTTGAATAAATGTCTTGGGGGTGGTGCAAGAATTTTATCAAAATGTAATCTTGCTAACCAAATACAAGTCAAAGGACTAGCCGGTTTCACGCTAATGAGAGCTTCTGGTAATGTAGTTCTAATGGTCTTTGAAGACTCTGATTCGTTGACAAGCGTGAAAGATAGTTAGAGACTCTAGCATAATGGTTTTTCAGAGTGGAAACTTGATCGGAGAGCCTAGTGGTGGAGTGCCGTCGCGTATGGTTAATTAGCGAAGGTATTCCTTTTCATGCTTGGAATTGGGATACTTTCAAAAACATTGCATCTAAGTGGGGCAAGCTATTAACAATTTACAACAATTGTGAGTTTCCATTATCTTTTGATCGGGCTAAAATTCAAATATTCACAAAGGCTCAAAGGAGAATTGATGAGTTGTTGGAGTTGAAGATCGGTGCTAATTTATTCAAAATCTTGGTGCATGAAGTTGATCCTTCCTTCAAACCTATTCTTGGATCCCTGAAGATTGCGATATTTCATTAGAAACTTGTTCCTCCAATTCATTCGTGACTGGTCGACATCTATATTCAGAGGTGTTTTTTTAGTTTATGGTTGTAATTATTGGTTTTTATTGTGCTATGTTATCTTACATCTTGGGTGTATTTATAAATAGGGTTATTGTCTTAAGGGCTTTTTGTTGAAGATGGAAGATTGTTAAGTGATATAGATTTTGTAATGGTGTTATTCCCGTATAAGGGATCAGTGTTAGTGTTACCACATGTACTTGGTATTCTAATTAATAAAATATGAGACACTCTTTTCTTCCTTCCAATGTTCTTCAACATACTTCTAAGTATGTGGAAGAATATGATGGGAGTTTTTATTGAGACCTCAACTTCTATAAAAAAATGTACTCCATCTGTCAGAATAATATAATCATTTCTCATTCTCAAATAAATCCAATTTAACACCACCTCCTTGTTTTAAAGCCAATTAAAATTCAACAAAAAAAGGGTCAAAAGTAACCAAGGCACAAGTGTCGGTCATGAATAACTAAAAACCATGCATAACAAGTGTTCGTCTTTTATGCCCAAAAAACGTTAATTTATTAGAAACAAAAAACTTGTCCAATTTCCAAACAGAAATGTGTGGGACATTCATTTTACTATATTCTCCAAATCACTCAAAGCTAAGGATCCAGAGATCTCTTCTCTTCTTCATAATAACCCATTTATAATTTAAAAGGAAAAGAAACAACCCACACCGTACACACAGCACTGCATTTATATTTATAGTTCCAGTTGAGTTAATGGATTCATAATACCTCAACTGAACAATATCTGCAAAGGCCTGCAGCGACCGGAAAAAACAATGGTTCCATGCGATTACAGAATGATAACTTCATATTTCTCAGCCATCTTTGACTAAGATCAAGGTTTCTTCAATCCACCAATTATTAAAACCAGGGTTTCTTCACCAGATTATTACTTACAATCATATCTGCAACCTCTATAGGTCAACGAACCTTTTCTCTACTTTGTTGCCGAGACATCATGCTAAGCGAATGCATATTCAACTGCATGCTCAAAATTCAAGTGAATAAACACTTTCCTTACCTTGACAAAAAATCAAATGAAAAAATGTTACATCAGACAACTCGAACAGAACGTTATGGACCATGCAATGTGGATAGTAACTTTTTCTGACACTACACGAAGTTACCTTTCATGTTGCAAATTGGAATATAATGTGAACTTCGAAGATAAACTTACGAGATCAGTTATGGGAAAGCTTAAATCAATTATGAAGACCATCCATCCACAAACCAAAATGACCCCCAACCAAGATAAATAAGTTTTTTTTCTCAAATGAATTAGAGCATACTTCAATATTTCATACTCTTGAATGAGCTTTTTAATCAGTGTCACATTCGTAATACTATCAATAATACATATTTAACATTTCAAGACTTAGTTTCCAATCTTTTTTTTTTTACACCACACCTTTGCCATAATTTGTAAAACTTCCATCAAGATTCTTGTGTTGTTTTTGACATAAAAAGAAAAAGCAATAACTGGAACATACTAATGGTTGCGTTATTACCTAGTTCAAATAAGTTAGCACAAATTTAATGCACATTTTGAGTCTTGAGTTAACTTGGCAACCACCCAAACAAATTCAAGGTGAACATTCAAGGCATTACCTGGCAAAGGGCTTAAACCTTCAACTATACTCAAAGAAGTGTTCCAACAGATAACCGACCAGCTCTTTTGCTCAGTTTCCCATTAGACAGTGACCTCTGAGAGAAAATAATAATTAGAATTGGGAAGTTGCAGATGATGAATCATTGGCACAAATAGTTCACAGAAAAGCACTGAAGAAAACAAGAACAAATTGAAAGCATAAAAAAAAAAAAACAGGAAAGGAAAAGTTTTTTTGTGTGGGGGGGAACTTACTTCACTCTATATGTCAATATGTAAAAGGTAGCAAAGGAAAAGTATTGAATCTTTGGATACTTATCATTCTTCAGCAATGAAGTCAATGATGGAATTTAAGGCTTTAAGCTAGCATTTTCTTTATCAAATCACATTTATAGCGAACCAAAGAAATGCCTATTTGACTCAAAAGGCTAAAGTTCGGCAAGAAAAAACCAAACTATGATAATCACAATAGTGCTCCTCACTTTGGTTGACTATAATGTTATTGGAATTACAAAAATACCAGAGAGGCGCCCTTAGCAGCTCTTTTTTGTCTAACAAAATCCATTAAAGGTGTAATTATTGGAGTATCCTTTGATACACCTGAAAAAAGGCCATTGATGGCATGACTTAAAAATTTTAATACATAGAGATGACAAGTTTCAGTCGGTTAATACAATAAAAAAAAATTATCTCTTATTTTCAAAACTTCAGAGATGTGAATAAGATTCATCTGACCAACCAGCTCTTTCTGCCTCCCTTCTCTCTAACTGTATCTCTACACTAGGAAGATTCTCAGCTGGCTTTCCAAGAAATTCAAGGAGCTCCAAATACTCAGGATCTAGATGTTCATCAAAGAAACACTTGCATTTATGATAGGAAAATAGTGGCCTACATAAGTTCTAAAAAATTCCACTTTTTTCCAATTATGGTAAATAAAATTTTAGCTATTACCTTTGGATATGGTAACTTCACGACCATCCCTTTTAGACCACTTCCTTGGAACATGTTGAGAAGGTGCATACTCAACAACTACTTTACACTGAGCCCCTGAAAGAAAGTGAAGGGATAGTTTTACTATGAAATCCATGAGCATCAGTTTATTGCAAATAGAAGTTAAGATAAACCTTTATTAAAGAAAATGTGATGTCCTACATAAGTAGTCAAAAATCTTTTTTATATCAGGCAATCAAAGTGTTCTAACATTCCCAAACTACACGAGAGATTTATGAGGTGCAGGTGAAAAGACAGATTCAGATTCATTAGCCTATTTGAGAATTGAGAGAGGATGAATTTCTATTGAAGAAAAGCTAAATGATGCTGGTTATAAAAAAATGTAAGCTATGCTAAATAGACTTTTATGAAGTTGAAGAATTATACCCTTCTCATTAACAACACATGACCATTAAGAACTCCGCAAACTCCAAAACATCCTCTGGCCTCTTGAAGTCCACATACGCTCTAGATTAAGAAAGATTCTTCTGACTGCAAAAGCATTTCAAGAATGCAGGACCACTGGATGGATTAGATGCTGTTTGGTAAACTGGAAACTAAGTACTGAATTTAAGTTATAAATATGTTTGGTATATTAATTAAATTAAGTATTGGATATAATTGAGTGTTAATAATGTAAATTTTAAAGGTAATATAGCATTAAAAGAAATAAAATAAAATTTATCATTTCACACACTTATTCATAGAAAAATTCTATTGGATGGTTTTATTCAGGATATAAAGACATTAAAAAAACTAAATAACTAAAAATTAATTATTATTTTTCAGCTGGTTGAATTTTCAAGTAGATTAACACACCTAACCCTAGTCTCTCAGCAGTATCTAAGGATTTATTCAAATTTGATCCAAAAAATCAAGAACTTGAAAAAAAAAGACTATAATACAGGAGAAACTCTCCTACTATATGAGACAGACACTATGACTTTGATTAAGCAAAGCAGACCAAACATGCCCCTTTACAAAAGACCCGCAATTAACCCATAATGGAATAATCTCCCTTAACAAAATCCAGAAACAAGAAATACAAGTATAGGGAAGAACTAAAAAATGTAATTAAGAATATGATTTAAAAAAAAAAAAGGGACAACCTACTCTTCCCGGACGAAGGAGAGCCAACTGTAACGGCCAAAAAAGGCACAATCGACTTGTTCGACAAGCATGGACTCCGTGATGGACGGTGGTAAGTGACGGAGAATCACCTTGGTTCGATAAAGTCCCCTTCATGCCTTCAAAAACCCTAACCCTAGAAATCACAAACCACGACAATCCCCCTCAAAAACCCTTTAACGACTTCCAAATTTAAGAAGAAAAAATTGTGAGAGTCAATGTGAGATCACATCTTTCTATGGATGGAACGCCCATTCGATCGATTAGCACAACGGAGCCCTAATTTTTGATAATTGAAGCCCAAATCGCCATGCTTGAGCTCATAAGACTAAATGAAGAAACAAATTAAAAGTTCCAAGAAATGGTAAATTATAATTTATGATATTTCGGTTATGTCTTCGTCCTATGGCTAGGCTAAATAATTTAAAAATTAGTTTTAGTACATAAATTGGTCCCTAAAGAATAACTTTCTTTATTTAGGTCCTTTTAACGTTATCATTTTTTTCAGGTTAATCCATATGATTATCAATACTATTAAAAAGGTTAACTTGCAGGCAACTTCTGCGGTGCGGCGCCTAAAAAAAAGGCTAAAAACGACATGACTGGTTAATAAGTGACCGGTTAAAATTTAGACCGGTTATGTTATATCATTTAACCGAAAATATTATCAAGTACAATAATATATTAGGTAGCGCTTATATAATGTAATAGGTAGCGCTTATATAATAAAATAGGCATTTAACCGGAAATATTATCAAGTACAATAACATATTAGGTAGTGCTTATATAATGTAATAGGTAGCGCTTATATTGACCTATTTTCTAAGTAAACCGGTATATTATACCGGTAACATTGCAAATTTATCTATTACATTATAATTAGGTTTCGATGTTTTTTGGATCGATACAATTTTAAATGTATTGACACTTTATGCATGCACCTCGTTGGGCATTCATTCTGGAAAAAAGTATCGACGCAAACTTAAAAAGTGTCGATACATTATTTAGACCTTTTTTCTCATAAAATCGGTATTTCTATCGGATACATTGTAAATTTACCTATCACATTGTAATTATCGGTTTCGATGTTTGTGGGATCGATACTTTTAATAAATGTATCGACATTTATGCATGCACCTCGTTTGGCATTCATTATGGACAAAAGTATCGACACAAATTTAAATAGTGTTAATACTTTATGCTGACATATTTTCTTATAAAACTGGTATATTTATACCAGTTACATTGTAAATTTACCTATTACATTATAATTATCGGTTTCTATGTTATTAGGATCGATACTTTTAATAAATGTATCGACACTTTATATTTTGGACAATAAGTATCGACACAAATTCAAAAGTGTCGATACATTATGTTGACCTGTTTTCTAATTAACCGGTATATTTATACCGGTTACATTGTTAATTTACTATTATATTATAATTATTGGTTTCGATATTTTGGGGTTGATACTTTAGAAAATGTATGTACACCTATTTAGCTAGTTATTGTACATACCTAAATATGTCATGCGAATTTAATGTTGTACGCACCCTTCAACTACCACTACCAATACCACATCCTATTGAAAGCACGACTGAAACATGTTCAATGAACCTTTACTTACATCTCCATCAACCCGGGACCACTGAACTTGCACAACAAAATTTTTTCCATGGATCATACTGATGCAGACAATGTTAAGCCAACCGGGAATGCCATGAAGTACATAATGTTGATGAATCTGACAGATTGGTTGGTCAACTCTTCTCTTCACGTGATCAAGCTTGGTACTTTTACAAGGGATTCGCACGGGAACATGGTTTAGTGCACGTAAGGAAACAATACGGCTTGACGTGGAAGGGAATGTGAAGACACAAGAATTTTGTTGTTCCAAAGAAGGTTTCGAGTATCAACAGTCAATACTGTTGATCGCCAACGTGCTCATAGGCCAGTCACAAGAACAGGATGCAAGGCTAGAGTCGTAGTTACAGCAACAAATACAAACGATCAATGGGTTATAAGTAAGTCTTATCAGAACATAATCATGCATTGTGCACACCTGCTATGACACCATTTATACGTTCAAATATAGCTGTAAGTAAGTCTGATTCGATGAGGCAACAACATTGAAAGAGGTCGGTGTTGGAACGTCACAAGTAATGAACTGTTTAACGCAACAAGCAGGGGGCTATCATAATGTTGGATTTACACATAAAGACCTGTACAATTCACTTCAAAGAGGTAAAGCAAAGGAAATCGTCGATGGGGATGTGAATGCGCTTATTGCTTACTTGATTATAAGAAACATGATGATCCTGGGTTTTTTATGACATACTCGGTAGATGAATCAAAGGCATTGCATAATCTTATTTGGTCGGATTCTACATCGAGATCAGATTACACAATGCTTCGGTGATGTAATTGCGTTCGACACAACGTACAAAGATAATTTGTATGGTCGACTAATTATGCCTATTGTCGGTGTCAATCATCACCATAACACAATTGTGTTTGCCACTGCAATAATTGCTGATGAGACATCCCAATCTTTCGAGTGGGTGCTACAGAATTTTTTAGAAGCCATGATGAATAAATCGCTTATTTCAGTTGTCACCGATGGGGTTAGGGCAATGCAGAGGGCTATCAAATCTGTTATCCCCTTATGTTAAGCACAAATTATTTTCTTGGCATATTTCTCTCAATGCACAAGCTAACATTGGTGACCCAAAATTTACAGCAGTATTCTCAAAATGCATGGCTTCCTAGTGGACAACCGAGGAATTTGATATTCAATGGTGTTCGGTTGTTTCATAATTCAACGTCAAAAAGAATTCATGGGTGATTGAGAAGGGAAATACTCGACACTTATGGGCACAAGCATATCTAATCGGTCATTTCTTTGCCAATATTCGCTCAACACAAATATGCGAGTCTATGAATGCTTCACTCGCGATTGCACTGAAACACAAGAAGACATATTTAGATGTTGTTCGTGCAATTGAAGATGTGATTAGTAGAATGCGTATGAACGAGTTGAAAGAGGATTACTTATGTTCTCAGACGAAGCCCTTCCAGATCACAAAACTGGTCGACCTTGAAAGCCATGCTGCTGAGATTTTTACCCGCGAATCTTTTCGTACATTCCAAGATGAACTTCAACGGGAGACATTGTACCAGATTCAGGAAGAGATTCAGTCCTTATCAGATTAATGTCAACATTATATTTTGACAAAGTACAAAGAAAAAAATAGAACATTTGAAATTAGTTTTGATTATCGTATGGAAACCTTAAATTGCTTCTGCAAAAAATTCGAGATCGTTTGACTTCTGTGTCACCATCAACTTCACATTTTGAAGCACTTGGATTACACATATTTGCCTGGGACTTTGATTCAAAATAAGTGGACTAAGGATGCGAAGGCTTCTGCACCCAGTTTTGTTGACTTGAATGTGCCTCCAGAAGTGATGCAAATGGCAAGGTTCGATGCTCTACATTCAACGTCAAGTAGGTTTTGCTACATTACATCAAAGACAGAAAAATTTGAAAACTCGTTTGGTTTGAATGATTCAGTCAACCAGAGCAATGTAGTAAACAACGTTCGCGACCCTCAACGAAAACAAAGCAAGCGAAAAGAAGTACCGAAAAATAAGGTCGAGAAGAAAATTAGGTGATGTGGGTATTACAACGGTGAGGGACATAACAAACTAACATGTCCTCAAGTCAAGCTCAGATTGAATACAAGCACACAACCTACATCAAAAGATTTTTTTGAAGACAGAATGGAATGGCCATTCAGTCCCGCACGTGATGACAACGATCTCTATATATCGTAAGTATCAACATGACTCCTACTGTGTATAAGAAACATGTACAACAACCTATTGTTAACTTTTCTCATCTCATACATAATTACATATAATTATTGAAGAATTGTTGTATTCAGTTGTTGAAGAATTGTTCTTAATTTTATATAAGGATAGTTGTTATGATATACGTTCACGTTTCGAGACCAATTAGTTAGATGCATGCAGTAGCCCATATCCTCGAGGCAGAGCAAAGAAATCTGGCACTTAAAGATTTACCAAGAGCGGTAGCTTTTGCTCTGCATGAAGACCGAACCTAGAATCAACTTTGCAATTATGCCTATCATGCTGAAGAAAACCTGCTGAGTAATAAGATTTGCACACAACTGCAAGCATTTTAAACACTAAACCCAAATCCTCACATGGAAAATTATGCAACAGAGATGTCAGGATTTCCCATAAAATGATTGTCTAATGCATAATTTTCCATGTGAGTAATTGGGTTTTGGGTTTAAAATATTTGCAGTTGTGTGCAAATCCTATTATTCAACAAGTTCTCTTCAACATGATAGGCATGATTGCAAAGTTGATTCTAGGTTCGGTCTTCATGCAGAGCAAAAGCTACCGCTCTTTGTAAATCTTTAAGTGTCAGATTTCTTGTGCTCTGCCTCAAGGATATAGGCTACTGCATGCATCTAAGTAATTGGTCCTGAAATGTGAATGTATATCATAACAACTATCCTTATATAAAATAAGAACAATTCTTACTGGTCGTTTTCGATTTTCTTCAATATTGATACGCAGGGGCTCCATTTGAAGGTCGTCATCTTCGCGAACAAAGATTGAACTTTCAACCTATAACCATTCAAAAACAGCAAACTTTAAAACCTAACCCCTCTTTTGAAGATTAACATTCTAAAAAGTAGTGTTTCGACAACATACCTATCGAACACGTGAAGGGAAAAAATGTTCAATATGGAAATCAATACCCTAGCATTTGATAAATTTACATGAATAACTGATCGTAACTGTTATGAACGCTGGTATTTGTCGGAGTTGAATAGAATAGAAGCTTTAGGGTTTATCGATTTGGGGTTTGTATAACGTTACATATAAATAATGAAGGAAAAAAACGCGTAATTTAAAAACGTATCGACACAAATTTAAAAGTGTCGATACACTATGTTAACCTATTTTCTCATAAAATCGGTATATTTATACCAGTTACATTGTAAATTTACCTATTACATTATAATTTTCGGTTTCGATGTTTTTTGGATCGATACTTTTTATAAATGTAACGACATTTTATGCGTGCACACTGTTTTGCATTCATTCTGGATAAAATGTATCGACACAAATCTAAAAAGTGTCGATACATTATGTTCACCTATTTTCTCATAAAACTAGTATACTTATACCGGTTACATTTTAAATTTACCTATTACATTATAATTATCGGTTTCGATGTTTTTGAGATCGATACTTTTTAAAAATGTATTGACACTTTATGCGTGCACCCCGTT